AATAATCAGAAATTAAATATGCATAAATTCGTTATTTTGGACATTACTCACTTTGCCTCCCCAACCATGTAGGTTATACAGGGTTAACTCTATATTTCATATATACTTCGCCTGAAATTTAGCCCAACAATGAGGGTTTGGATTGGTAATAGAGAATAGTGGACCAATACTACAAAATGATCGGCCAAAATAAAATTAAGAATAGAGAAAAATAGGCCAAACAAATAAAGAATAAAGAGTAATGGAGTGTTCAAATATTATATAAAGAATAAAGATTCATGGACAAAAATAATAAGAATAGAGAAAAATGACTAACAAAATTAAAGAATACTTAACCATTTGAAAGCCAGGGATGTATGAATACGTAGAAATGTTTGGAGGTAAATGACCAATAGGGACCTTCAAAGAATTGCAAACTCGATATGTAGGTCTTTATACACTAGTGTACCGAAATATCAGTCTCAGAGCTGCAGGCATTACAAAAAATTATCAGGAGAAGTCCAACTCAATTGCCATAACTCTGTTAAATAAATGACTGAAAAATGTGAAACGCATACTCAATCAATGTCATCGTTATAATATTTTATAACTATGATTATAATGCTATAGGCATTCAGAACAAAACCCTGATATCTACCGATCTGAGGAATTTCTAACTTGACCATATATCCATACCCTCATGGAAAATTGAATTCAAACAACACTTTTAATAACGAAATCCTGAAATTTATGATAATCAGAACAGCATTCAAAATCTCAGCAGTAAAACTGTTTTTACCAAATGACTGTGATGTTGTGATAGAATTAAGAATTAAGAAAAATATTTGGATAGTGTTTTTGGTAAATGAATTAAGAAATAAGGTCATGCAAAATAAAACAAAAATACTTTTGTTTTAGGATTTCCCCGTCTATTTTTTTTGTATACTTTCAAATGCCTAGTACCCTTAAGGGTTTTTTTTGTACTTTTGGTATTGAATCGAGACAAAACTGCAGGTGAACCCTTTATACTCAAGGCAAAAACATTCATTGAAATAAAAAAAAAATCCTTCACTACTGTTCTAAATGTGTAAAATCCAGGCACAGAATATAATAGAATAGAATTATATGCATGCGTTTAGCCTAAACAAGAAAATGACAACAACCGAACAATTCCTCAAAACGTCAATCACTCGGTCGGAGAAACTTTCCGATCATGAAATTTCGTTTAAACACTTTTCGTAACGAAAGGTGTATCTTAGGCTGGATATCTTCAAACTTTGTAGGTTTTGATACTTTTTAGAATACATTAACAATCTTTCGTGCGAAGATTTGCAATACAGGTACCCTTTCTTGATGTGCTTTATAAAAATAGATTACCAGGTAGTTTTTACTTATGTGTGCTGTTACACCACTCTCCCAGGTTAGGGGAGGGTTGAACGTTCACAAGCATGTTTATGTTTCAGAAAAGGGAGAACGTTTGGTACCATTAAAACGTTTAAACCCGCTGCAATTGTTTGCACCTGTCCTAAGTCAGGTATCTGATGTTCAGTAGTTGTCGTTTGTTGATGTGGTTCATAAGTGTTTCTCGTTTCTCGTTTTTTATATATTAGACCGTTGGTTTTCCCGTTTGAATGGTTTTACTCTAGTAATTTTTGGGGTCCTTTATAGCTTGCTGTTCGGTGTGAGCCAAGGCTCCGTGTTGAAGACCGTACTTTGACCTATAATGGTTTTCTTTTATAAATTTTGACTTGGATGGAGAGTTGTCTCATTGGCACTCATACCACATCTTCTTATATCTATTAACTCTGCCATATTCTTGGTTTGCACGTACCAAGTCAGGAGACTATAGTACAGTGATTGTCGTTGGTTAATGTCTGTCATATTTGTTTTTCGTAAATTGTTTTGTTATAAATTAGGCCGTTAGTTTTCTCGTTTAAATTAGTTCACATATTTCATGTTGGGGCCTTTAAAAGCCGACTATACAGTATGAGGTGGCCTATAATTGCATACTGCCTCTTCATTTTACTCTTGTTGATAGCTATCTCATTCGTACCACATTTCCTCATTTTTATATATGTAGTAATATCTAACTTTTCTGTTGTTTTCATGGGAAACTTTTGGAAAGATACAAATACGAAAACAAAAATCTTTATATAATAATCAGAAATTAAATATGCATAAATTCGTTATTTTGGACATTACTCACTTTGCCTCCCCAACCATGTAGGTTATACAGGGTTAACTCTATATTTCATATATACTTCGCCTGAAATTTAGCCCAACAATGAGGGTTTGGATTGGTAATAGAGAATAGTGGACCAATACTACAAAATGATCGGCCAAAATAAAATTAAGAATAGAGAAAAATAGGCCAAACAAATAAAGAATAAAGAGTAATGGAGTGTTCAAATATTATATAAAGAATAAAGATTCATGGACAAAAATAATAAGAATAGAGAAAAATGACTAACAAAATTAAAGAATACTTAACCATTTGAAAGCCAGGGATGTATGAATACGTAGAAATGTTTGGAGGTAAATGACCAATAGGGACCTTCAAAGAATTGCAAACTCGATATGTAGGTCTTTATACACTAGTGTACCGAAATATCAGTCTCAGAGCTGCAGGCATTACAAAAAATTATCAGGAGAAGTCCAACTCAATTGCCATAACTCTGTTAAATAAATGACTGAAAAATGTGAAACGCATACTCAATCAATGTCATCGTTATAATATTTTATAACTATGATTATAATGCTATAGGCATTCAGAACAAAACCCTGATATCTACCGATCTGAGGAATTTCTAACTTGACCATATATCCATACCCTCATGGAAAATTGAATTCAAACAACACTTTTAATAACGAAATCCTGAAATTTATGATAATCAGAACAGCATTCAAAATCTCAGCAGTAAAACTGTTTTTACCAAATGACTGTGATGTTGTGATAGAATTAAGAATTAAGAAAAATATTTGGATAGTGTTTTTGGTAAATGAATTAAGAAATAAGGTCATGCAAAATAAAACAAAAATACTTTTGTTTTAGGATTTCCCCGTCTATTTTTTTTGTATACTTTCAAATGCCTAGTACCCTTAAGGGTTTTTTTTGTACTTTTGGTATTGAATCGAGACAAAACTGCAGGTGAACCCTTTATACTCAAGGCAAAAACATTCATTGAAATAAAAAAAAAATCCTTCACTACTGTTCTAAATGTGTAAAATCCAGGCACAGAATATAATAGAATAGAATTATATGCATGCGTTTAGCCTAAACAAGAAAATGACAACAACCGAACAATTCCTCAAAACGTCAATCACTCGGTCGGAGAAACTTTCCGATCATGAAATTTCGTTTAAACACTTTTCGTAACGAAAGGTGTATCTTAGGCCGGATATCTTCAAACTTTGTAGGTTTTGATACTTTTTAGAATACATTAACAATCTTTCGTGCGAAGATTTGCAATACAGGTACCCTTTCTTGATGTGCTTCATAAAAATAGATTACCAGGTAGTTTTTACTTATGTGTGCTGTTACACCACTCTCCCAGGTTAGGGGAGGGTTGAACGTTCACAAGCATGTTTATGTTTCAGAAAAGGGAGAACGTTTGGTACCATTAAAACGTTTAAACCCGCTGCAATTGTTTGCACCTGTCCTAAGTCAGGTATCTGATGTTCAGTAGTTGTCGTTTGTTGATGTGGTTCATAAGTGTTTCTCGTTTCTCGTTTTTTATATATTAGACCGTTGGTTTTCCCGTTTGAATGGTTTTACTCTAGTAATTTTTGGGGTCCTTTATAGCTTGCTGTTCGGTGTGAGCCAAGGCTCCGTGTTGAAGACCGTACTTTGACCTATAATGGTTTTCTTTTATAAATTTTGACTTGGATGGAGAGTTGTCTCATTGGCACTCATACCACATCTTCTTATATCTATTAACTCTGCCATATTCTTGGTTTGCACGTACCAAGTCAGGAGACTATAGTACAGTGATTGTCGTTGGTTAATGTCTGTCATATTTGTTTTTCGTAAATTGTTTTGTTATAAATTAGGCCGTTAGTTTTCTCGTTTAAATTAGTTCACATATTTCATGTTGGGGCCTTTAAAAGCCGACTATACAGTATGAGGTGGCCTATAATTGCATACTGCCTCTTCATTTTACTCTTGTTGATAGCTATCTCATTCGTACCACATTTCCTCATTTTTATATATGTAGTAATATCTAACTTTTCTGTTGTTTTCATGGGAAACTTTTGGAAAGATACAAATACGAAAACAAAAATCTTTATATAATAATCAGAAATTAAATATGCATAAATTCGTTATTTTGGACATTACTCACTTTGCCTCCCCAACCATGTAGGTTATACAGGGTTAACTCTATATTTCATATATACTTCGCCTGAAATTTAGCCCAACAATGAGGGTTTGGATTGGTAATAGAGAATAGTGGACCAATACTACAAAATGATCGGCCAAAATAAAATTAAGAATAGAGAAAAATAGGCCAAACAAATAAAGAATAAAGAGTAATGGAGTGTTCAAATATTATATAAAGAATAAAGATTCATGGACAAAAATAATAAGAATAGAGAAAAATGACTAACAAAATTAAAGAATACTTAACCATTTGAAAGCCAGGGATGTATGAATACGTAGAAATGTTTGGAGGTAAATAACCAGCAGGGACCTTCAAAGATTTGCAAACACGATATGTAGGTTTTTATACACTAGTGTACCGAAATATCAGTCTCAGAGTCATACTATATCTTTCATTGAAATATATGTTCTTATTGAGGACACACTTCATAAGACAGAAAAAAAAACGTTTACCGAACAAAAATTTCTCCTTTATAGTAACTCAAATTCATGTTTTGAATAATTTACACTTTTATGATCTTTTCGTGAGCACAACAGCTGAGAAATTATCTAACATAGCTTACAACCATAATTTGTAAATATTTATCTAATCAAACTAAAACTAAATTAGAATATTATCAGATGTATATATATTATAACTTACCTTTGTATGAAGGTGATGCTGACGACGGTTTACATGGAGCCGAACATCGACTGGACGATGCAATGGCAGAAATCATCGTCATATGTATCTCAATGAATGTTTATTTATGCCTTTTCGTAGCTCCTATATAACGAAATCACCTTTGACACTTGCTACTTGTACATATTCTCTCTCTACGATCGCACAGATAACTGAATGAAATCTTGCTTTATTGCAGAGGCTAATAAAAATTGACATGTTTGCGTAACGAATGCAAGTGTTTTCAGAAATATTATGAATTATTTTTAGATGTGAATAGATACTGAGGAAATGAAAAACCGGTGTTTTGGCAACTTTACTCGTTTATACATCACAAATTCTTACGATGTTTGATGCCATAGTTTCCTGTTTTGAAAACATTCTTGTTAATGAATGCGACTACTGCATGCATATGATTTATAACATTGAGAAAATTCTAAATAATAATCATCTGATATACATGTCATAAGATATGAGAAGTTGTTTCTAATCAAGGCCCCAGCAAGGGACATATGATCATTTCCAGGATAAAATATTTACAAAAATAAAAAAATATGTAAGTCAAATATTCATAACAATATATGAATTAACGTAATCTATTGCAGTCTAAAGTACATTTCTTTAACCGATCAGGAATCACAACAGAGACCTATATATGAATGCATGCCATTAGATATATATTTTGCATGTAAATAAAAATGCATATCGGTAAGTAGCAAGCAAAGATATTTTGGCACTGGAAATTTGATTATCCTTTAGTAACGAAGAAAAAAAAATCGATTATTGTTTATTCATTGAAAGATTTAGCTTTAGAACAGATCAAGTGTTCATATTGTCCAGTCATACGATTGAAAATCATATCTGAAATTCCTTTAACTCAGGTTAGTGTCCTATAAGGTCATATATCTATTTCACGAACAATCAGCGTTTCGTAAATTTTATGCTATTCGATAAATCAATAACACATAAATATTTCGTGACTGGACAGACTTTAGAAGTTGTCAGATACTGAGGATAATGATGATGAGAGATAGCTGTGTAATGTCCAGTTGCAAATTGAATGTATATTCAGGACGAAAACATGTTAATGTAGTGTGAATATTAAGCCGGTTTTCTACTAGCTATATAGAACGACACGCTGAGCCGGATTTCTGACGTGCTAGTTCACAAGGTAACAACAGTCTGCAGGAATACATGTCACCCTACCCGTACACATTATTTTGACTCCAAGCCGACCAGTCCTTGTAATTCCTCCTTAATGCCGCGTGCTTAGCGAAGGAGCAGCGAATGCCAATTCTAAAGTCTTTAATTCGAACCCAAGACCTCCTTGCACTCGAGGTGAACCCGCTGTCACGAGACCACAGAAGCGGTAAGTTACTGAGGACAAATAACCAAAGATAAGATACCCAGAATTAATTTTATTTTTTTGCCAGGATATATAGCCCTTTCTACTTAAGTTTCTAAAAGAAATATACTTGCACCCCTACTATCCAACACTCACTATGATACTGAGTTTCAAGACAATAGTCAAAAATGAAATTTGCTACAAATTGACATTTTAGAGGCAACAACTTGTCATTGAACGGTAGATATATCTTTACCTACTGAACATTTTTACGAAGTCAGTTTTAATCAAACCCCTTTTTTGTATGACCCAAAAATTGAAGTTTGACCCCCCCACCCATTCTTTTTTTTTTTAGCAACAGTGGTCATGTGGTCATGTTCTTCTTACTATATGTCTAAAGAAAATTTCAGGTAAAATTTGTTAACATTAGGCCCTGTAGTTTTAGAAAAAGATTTTTCAAAGACCACGGTCGCACGGACGACAAGTATTGTAAATACCTCATATGACCCATTTGACCAGGTCATCTTAAATTGAAGGCACCATCCTGTAAACAAGAATTTCTTTATGATATCTTCAAAAGTCAGTCTCTTAAAACAAAGGTCTCTCCCATTTCATATATTTTGTAATTATCGACTCATTCTAGGACTATTATACTAACTTAGTATAATAGTCCTAGACTCATTCAAGGTTTTGAAGAGTGGATTGATTGTTGGTTGCATATTAAGAACAATTTAACAATTTATACAATAATAAGATGTGCATGATAGGTTGACTTGGATGAATGGCAGAGATTGGGACTGCCACCAGAACATGGGGCCAAAATGTTTCCTAACAACAGGTCACTTACGGGCCCATCAGAGACTTGTTGCTATAGTTAGTTAAATTGAAGTTTCTGCGCTCAACCTAAACGGGGTTTCAGCTTTGCAAATTCAACATCATGTCAAACCAAACAGATAATTCACGTTAGCAAGTTGGAGTCCACGGGTTACAATATTTCTATAAACCCGTCAACTCTCGTGGTTTAGATGAATTGTCATACACATTTTAAAAGGATCTGATAAGAATTGTAGATGCTATCCTTGGGACAATTATCAATATTAGATATGTTAATGAGTTCCCCATTTCAGACATTTCTAATTATCAAAGTCGTGGGAAGTTCTGAAGTGTAAAAACCCCAATACTATAATTAGAAGCGGACTTGATAAGTATGAAGGCTCAACCAAGACTACAAGACTGCATATGTTATATTTCCCCCAAATAATGGTCGGTCATTTCAGTTTGGTTTTTTTTTCATTATTGAACTCGTCTCCGGTTTTAACGAGTGCGCTTTGAAACTTTCCTTAAAACGTGAAGAGTCTGATAAACAAAAAGTGAGCCTGCATTACTGATCTGGCAAAACTGTGATTTATTTTCATCTTTATTGCGACAATTTGGACTAACTTATAAATCTTATATTGCGGTTTCTTTTATAGTTTTCAAGAAAGTAACAAAAAAATAAACAGTTGACACCGTGATATTCCTTGCTTGTGTGTAATTTTGATAGGATAATGCAAATGTTGAGATTAAAATTGCAATACTTAGACATGTAAAATAAAGTCAATTATTCATGGCCATGACTGAAGATGCAGGGCCAAACAATCATCCAAACATTGGATTTTAATCGGATTGTACGCAATAATCTATGAAGAAATATGAACTGTCAATTTTAATACTACATACCAAATATCCATGGACAGTGTGTAGCATTGTGAGCATGCACTTACAAATAATTTATAAAACTTTTTTTTATAAAAATTAACTATAATCGTTCAGCTTCTAGGGGACAGCCGCCCGCCAGACCACCTGCTTACAATTTTATTTCCAGTGGCTATGATACTGATGGACCTACCATTAGTGGTTCCACTTAAATTGACCTTAACACAAAGCTAACATCTAAACTATGCAAACAATTTCAGAACGGTATGGCCAAATAATCTCCTTGGATATGAGATGTGCCAATGCTAATAAATCTGCGAACCAAATGTCATTAACTTACTACTTGTAGTTCCCCTTGAACTGACCAAATCACAAACTTAATACATGTATGTAACAAAGCATAGACCATGACTTAAGAGGTAGGGCAAAATTATCTCAATGGAAATGAAATGTGTCAATGCTGTTTCATTAGCATACCAAATATCTGTGACCTTGGCTACCACTAATGGTATTTCTTAATCTGATCTTATCTGATGTTACTGGGAACAGCACAACCAAGTCTCTTTTTTTAACTTTGTGGAGGCCATACAAATAGCACAGTATAGGAATAGCATCTCATTATAACCTGACATAATTTGATGTTTGATTTTATTTTGTCAGATTTGTAGTATGACCAATGTTTCGAAAAGAAAATTCGGTTGATTTCTCTTTATAATGTTTTTGTGTACAAGATTGACTATCAAGTCAGTTGGTTTGTATGACCAATATTTTGATGTGAAATCTACTCTTCATCTGGTGATTAGATAATTAATGAAGTTGTTTTTTTAGTCTGTTCTGTATTGTTTGCATTTTTTTGTTGAATATTTCTTCAATATTAATGAAAATATTTTTTTTTTAAATATTGCAATCTAATATTTTTAAGGATGAGAATTCAGAAAAATTATTTTATCTTGAAAATGTTAATTTCCTGTATAATGTAATAGCAAGGCAAACTACAGTGGATTCATTTATTTTCGTGGATATTTGATTTGGTGGTTTTGTCAAATTCTGCATACTAGCACATACAAAATTTGTATTTAGTTTGAACATTTACCTTAGTGGTTCACCTTTATCGCAAGATTGGTATCCCACGGATAATAATGATACCACAGTAATTATTTTGTTATGTGTGTACTGTGTAGACAGGATGAAGAGTAACAATTCAGTTTTCCAAAAAATCTGGAAAAGTAAGAGGATTTTTCAAATTTTGTATGTATTGTGTTGACAAAGTGGAAGATAGACCATTCAGTTTTTTTTTCTTGAGTTTACAAGATGACTATTCCATATTGTGTTGACCAGATGAGAGATTGATTTGACTCTTGAGTATTGTATCTTGTTATTTAAAAGAACAGAGTTCCACTCTGTGTTGCACATATTTTATATGTCCAAGGGCCATAACTAAAAAATATTTTTTTGTTTTTAAAACGTTTTACAAATATCTTAAAAAAAAATAGAGTGTAAGTCCTTACAATGCAATTATCCATATAATTAATATTTCAAGGGCATAACTGTTTTAATAAACTGTTATCACAGAGATAAGTCTCGCCTTTTAGTAATATCAAAATGCAAATGTTGAAATTAAAATAGCAATACTTTATCATGTAAGTTATGCAAATATTAAAAGTTGATGAACCATGACTAAAGGTACATTGCTAAACAATCTCCATGGAAATGAGATGTGCCCATGCTAATACAACTGCATACCAACCAAATATCATTGACTTATTACAAGTCATTCCCTTTAAACAAACCTAAACACAAACATTAACTTGTAAACTATTTAAAGTTTCAAAGTCAATGAACCATGATTAGGGGGTGGGGCTATATAATCCCGATGGCAACGATACTTGCAAATGCCAGTAAATTTGAATACCAAATATCATTGACTTTAACATTAGCAATTCATCTCAAACTGATCTAATTACAATCTAATATATGTAAACTAAGCAAAAGTTTCAAAGTCAATAGACCATGATTGAGGGGGCAGGGCCAAATATTGCCCATGGAAATGAGATGTGCTTATGCTTCTACAACTGAATACCAATTAAAATCGGCCTACCACTAATTGATTCAATAGTTTCCCATTTTGAAAACATTCTTGTTAATGAATACGACTACTGCATATGATATAATATATATATATAACATTGAGAAAATACTAAATAATAATCATCTGATATACATGTCATAAGATATGAGAAGTTTTTTTCTAATCATGGCCCCAGCAACTTGCAGCAAGGGACATATGATCATTACCAGGATAAAATATTTACAGAAATAAAAAAATATGTAAGTCAAATATTCAT